ACCCACACCCACACCCACACCCACACCCACACCCACACCCTCTATTATTGGTAAAAAAATCAGCCCGTTTGCTCGAGCCGTAGCGGAGATATTTAATTTTTTCTTGGTATCGTGACTTTTGGGCCATACACAGGGTGGCCCAAAAGTCTGAATACCAAAATAAAAATTGAATATCTCCATTATGGTTCGAGCAAACGGGTTGATTTTTTACCAATAATAGAAGTATGTTCAAGCTTCATATTCATAAAGACATGCCTAGAGAGATCCTCTGTTAAGTGTACTGTCTTTTTTTGTGTACTCAAAAAGTGAGTACACTCTAGAGTCGGTCAGTATGTCCGTCCGTCCGGCCGTTTACACGATAACTTTCGAAAGGAGAGTCCGATCACGATGAAAATTTCTATACAGTTCAGTCTTAACAATATCTCGGTCGAGTTCGAAGATGAGCAGGATCCGTCAAGAAATGGCTGAGTTATCGAAAAAATTGTCATTATTAAGAAGACCATCCCTACAGGGGGGTAGAGGAATTTTTTCAAAAAAACAATTTTTTTCTCCGAATTATTCACAACATACATAAATCGACTCAGTTTTTAACGCTGATTCCGAATCTGACATTAGCTTTGAACCAAATCGTAGCTTTCTAACAAAACATCCCCCGAAAAAGGCTCAAAATGCAGAAAAACTACATGAAGAAAGCAAATAGTCTAGATATGTCTCAGATGATAAAAAACAAAGTGAATATACCTTTTCACTTTTTGATGTACACATAACACTCGGATTTAAATCCGATGTTTTCGCATTTATTTCTATCTGTGAAAGAGTAAAATTTTTCTTGTTGAGGTCAAGAGTGTTACTTAACAAAGGGTCTTCCTAGACATGTCTTTATGGATATAAACTTGGCACATGCCTCTATCACTAGTAAAAAAATCAACATGTTTGCTCGAGCCGTAATGGAGATATTCAATTTTAGTTTTGTTAAATGACTTTTCGGACACCCTGTATAATAAATGTTTTATTAAATTTCATTGAATATGTCGATTTAACTGTTCTTTTGCTTTTAACAATGTAAATAAAATTAAATATTTTTAAGAAAAAAAATCTTCGATGACCATCTATTATATTCATTCAAAATAGATATTATTGTTTATTATTAATCATCATATTTACAATATTGCTTTTTTTTTCGAAATAAATATGTTCATTGATTGAATAAGAGAGATTTATTTTAATCAGAAATGTTACTGATTTTTTTTATCGAATGTTTGAAATATTTTTATTAAGTATAGATCTTTATTAAAAATAAAATCAATAATTTATTTAGAAAATATTCAATGAATTTTTCGTTAAGCGATTTTATTATTTATAAAAGTTCTCATAAGAATTTTATTTATTTAATATGAATATATATTCAATTTTTCATATAATTAATAGTTATGTTTAAACGTTAAGCAATAAACTTTATTAAACAAAAATAAATAATTAACTAATTTTTTTCATCGAAACTAGTTTCATTCGAAAAAAGATTTGCTTTTCATAGATGAACAAAAATATTCTCGATTAAAAAAGATATCAAAGAATATTTAATGGCTTTTCTTTTTAAAAATAGTTATTTTTAAAAAAATGATAATAGTTAAATTCTTATGGGCAGTTTAATTTCACTGAAAATGAACAAGATTTTTACATTTATTTTAATATTTTCTTCAATAAAGTTTCAATATTGTTTATTAAAATATATCAAGTACGAAAATATATGACAAACAACAAAAAAAATTTTTTATTTTAAATATTTTCCGATGCATAATATTCTTTTATTAAATAACTTTAATATTTTCTTTTTATTCATTATTGAAAATAAATTGATAGTTTTATGAATAAGTTTTCTAAAAGAATAATTAGTAATATATATATTATGAATTGAATGTTTTCCGAATATCAATTTCTGATAGATATTATTTTATTTAATCTACATGAATTTTGTTTGTTGTCAATTGAAAATAATCATGTAAATAATCGTTCTCATTATTTAAATATCATAATATGTAGCCTTAAGATGAAGATAATTAAATGGATTTTCTCATTGAGATTGTATTCGATCTATCAAACTATAAAATTTGATGAAATAGAAAATGTGACATCGAATATACATGAAAAGAGCGACTGTATTTATACATTTAGATGTTGTCTCTACATTAATATGAAAACAAAAATTAATAAAAATTATCTTTGTATTTGTGAGTTTAGAAAAAATTCAAATTTATTTTTAATCTGTTTTCTAATGATTCAAATAGAAGATAATTTTATCTTAACTTTCATCTACTGGCTGAGATAAAAATATAGTTAATTATTTAATGACAGACAATTTGAAAATGATGTTAATGAACAGTCGAATTATTTGGTTTCAGTCTGGTTGAATACCAACACGAATATAGTTTTATGAGAATAAATTTTGGCCTATAACACAACGTGAATATGATTAAGTTTTAACAAATTCGATGGAATACATCTAGAATAAATCTAAAGATAATTAAACTAATCACGATTCAAATTAATGGAATAATGCTGGTTAACGGAAGAATAACACCTAAACCCTATTTATACCATAGTAATTGATTATCTGATTTAGCTGTTCGATAAATCTTTCGAACTTGAGTTAATTTTTTGTTTGTGCCTTTATTAAAATTATTTATCCTGCTGTCAATATGGAGAGATGATTTTTCTCTTATTCCATTAATTAAACAAAAAAAAACAAAATTTTCCAATATGATAATTTTGTGATTACATTAGTATCTTTGTTGTCTATATGTTTGTAAACATTGGCATTGTAAAAGATCTTACAAAAACTTTTATGATTCTTAATTTTTGACGTGATAAAAAACACGAACGAAAAATTCTAATATGAAATATTTAACTATTTTTCTTCTTTTTACTATATTAGTATGAAGAGTTGATTAAATATTACACTGTTATTGATGTGCACATAAGTTTTGGTTATTATTTATTTATTTACCTGTTAGATTTTGTTTATTATAGGTTTTAATAATAATTATTATTACGGAAAAGTGATTACATTATTGCATATTGATTCGCAAAAGAAAGACCTATTATACACTGTTGTAGTGGCGATCAGGAAAATATTGAAATCTATTTAGTGGATTCATTGAGAATTTATGAAACATGAAAATCAGATACCGAAACACTTGAACTCAAACTATCTAATTCAAAATTTTAGATTCCTATGAGAATGCCTTAGTAATAATTGATGTCTATGATGTCATCAATCATCATTGAGATGATTTATAGAAACAAAAGAATTCATTTTTGTTAATAAAACTATATGAACACTAACATAAACTATTAAAAAACAACATACATTAAAATCTTAAAAGATTTAAATTTTTAATAAATTCACCAATAATTTATCAGTTCACATCGAATGTTGTAATTATTACTCCGACTTTTCCATACATTCTTTAGTTTGCTTCATAAGTTTCATGTCAATTATTAACTATTCAAAGACAAAAAGAAATAATCAAATTCTTATTAAAAAAAAATGAAAATGTTCTATCTTTTGACAACTGACTTGTTTTATTTGTGTCTGAAGTTCATTTATCGAATTTTGCATTTCCTTCTGTATTTGTAATGCTACTTCATTCTTTGATGGTGCTGAAAATCTGTTATATGATGTAAATTATTTTTTTTCAAAAATTCAAAAAATAAAATCATAAAACCTACAATCCCATATTATTTTTGATATGCGATCGATATTTTTCTTCGACTAGATAACGAGCAAATTTATATGTAGCTGCATTTTCAAAATCAGTCCATTCAGCATCCAATTTCGGTGTCATAAGGCGTTCTAAATGAAATTTTTAACTTATCACCTCAATAATCGATTACTTACTAAATACTCGAAAGCATATTTTTCCACGTATAATTAATCTTATAAACATGCAAATATAGATAATAAATGATATAGGTGGATATATGAACATCGGCTTTTCGAAATAGTTACGAATTAATTCATAACGTTGATAATGCCAAAAGAATTTATTCTGAGCTTGTACATCATTGATAGAGAAGCTATATAATAATTTAATATTGTTGAAAATAGCTTTGATGTCTAGACTAACTCACTTAAATATAGCAATAAGTAAACTAAGCAGAAGAATATTGATGAATAGCATATGAAATGCTAATAGAACATGATTAGCTGTTGCTTCTGTTTTTTCATTTGCAGAGCTTGTATTTGATAGGATTATATCTATAACATACAAAATCCATATTTCAAATTATTTTTATGCATAAAGTCTAAAATTACTATCTAAAGTTTTCAACTCATTGTCAACCAATGAATATAAGAACCAATAAGATTGATAAAAGATTGATGTTGTTAAATTATGTGCAGTAAATTGAATACTGGAATTCTTAGTTAATACACTTGAAACTACACCATAGGCAGTAAGACATACAAAAATGATGTAGATAATACCAATAAGATCACGCATCTTAATTAAACAAACATATAATAAAAATAGATGCATTGTATCGCTTAATGTTTACCATGTTGCGAATCATAAATAGTTTAGGTCCTAACATTTCAACAGCACTGACAAATTGTAAGGAAAATAGATACCATAATTCAAGATCGATAGCCAAGACAATTCTATATTTGGATCATATTTAAAATAATCTTGATCGAATGTTTCTACCTTACTTACCGTGCTGCAGTAAATAAATTCGGGTAAATTTTCGAACCAAAGTGAAGTCCAATACCAATATAAAATAAAAGGTAAGGTGTCATATTAATAATCCATGTAAATACACCTCCTTTCTGCCATCGTTCTAGCATTAATGTATGAAATTCAACAATGATCTAGATTTCCATCGTACGTCAAAAATATTTTTATATTATAATAACCAATACTAACCCTTCTTATATCTTCGATAAGAGCTTCTGAAATGGTAATAATTACATAGATTTCACTCCAATGAATTGAATCTTTTGAAGACTTCATATGAAATAGCATTTGATAGCTGAATACAAGCAAGAACCAAATGTAAATCAACTATAAAAAAAAATATTGATTGATGATATGAGTATTTACATCATATTCTTTTGGAAAAACTTACAAACTGATAAGATACCATTACAACAGGACTCGAATGAAATTGTATCCATTTATGTCTATATCCAACTGCTTTATGTGATGGATTATCTATCCTACAGATTCCGCTGAAACATATATCAATACATATCTATATATATATATACCTTCTAAACTAAGGTAGCCAATATGAAAAAGTTTATCTTTCCATAAGTAACGTGTTAGCTTAAGACAACACAAAAATTCATTATTTCGATTTCAGCTATGTAACTTTTTGAAGAGGAAAAATGTTACAAAAGATACCTTTCAGGAACATTGCTCACAGTATCATCATCTTGTCCGTTCTGATGTATGAAAAAAAAAACAAAGTAATGAAAAGATATTAATCATAAGTGCTATTTAAACCTTTTTTTGAGATTTATCAACTAAACGGAAATTAAGATATATAGGCGCAAACATGCCGAAAGAAGCCACATGAAGAGCAAACTTCAATATTTCCCATATTGTTTTAATCGAAGCACTATCTAAATGGCCATACCATTGTTGATGGAGAAATTGATCGAAACATTCTGTATTGACGAAAGGAATGTTATCTGATGCAATAGCTGCCTATGAATAAATAAATCACTTAGATTATCTGCTGAAAAACAAAGTCTGAATGACTCACTTGCATGCATGTTATATTTCCAAAGAGAGGAATTTCACGTGAGATCAATTCACAAGCAACTCTTTCATTATGCTTATAACATATATCAATACATGCTGTAGCATATTCTTCTAAGGCTGTTCGATGTTCCATGTATATGCTCCGTAGATATGAGTTATGACTCATTAATGATAAACGATGAGCCATACTAGCTGCAACTAGTGCTGCACTAATGCGTGACTTAATTTGAAGCAAGAGAACAAATGCCATGTCAATGTAGCCTTTATAGACACTCCACAAAAATATATCACGCAGCATTTCTTGTTTACCATATGTCATTTCACATTCGTAGACTGATGGGAGTGGAATTTGACTAACTATTTGAAGTAATATTTCAGTTTCTGATTCGGCTCCATTAAGTTTTAGTACAGTTCGTGGTGAAGGATAACAAAATGTGGAAAGTCCTTCACAGAAACGTTTGAGTGTGCGTTTTTTTCGTCGATAAAAAGATTTGGCATATGGTCCAATCAACTTAAAATATAAATCATCGAGTTCTAACAATGATCGTGGAACAGGATGTGTCTAATTAAACAATATATAAAAGAAATCTGTCGACATGTAGGAGACAGTTCACTCTTTAGTCGATGTAAATTTTTCAAGTACTTCATTGCATACAAAAATGCAAACTGATGAAGCCTTTGATTTCCACTAGTCGAATGAGTTAACATGAGAACACATTTTTTTTGTTTACAATGAATTCATTTTAAAATGCATTGTTTTTAGAAGAATATAGAAAAAAGATGCTCTCATATTATCATTTTCAACTGATGAAAACACTAGTTTTTCCTTGTTCACGGTCTTCAATTATTCAAAAACAAATAACTACATATATACCTCTACTGTTTTCTGATTTGCTAAACAAAGAAATACTTTAATGTACATATTTTTCATAACAAACTATACTTATTTTCTATATTTCTTGGAAAAAGTCAATTCAAATATTTGAAACAATGGTATGAATTAAATTCATTACTTACTAAAATAGATTCTTTATCATTATTTTTGTAAAGAATTTCTACAATAAACTCAAGTGCATATCTGACACAATTTTTTTCTTCAAAATCGTAATTTTCTGATGATATTGTCGTGGAATTAGACTCTTCTAATAAAAAACCCAATAATATTACTAGTAATTCATTTTAAATCAAAATAACCTTTATCTCTATAGTTGACAAATGCAGTTGTTTCGAGTGGACTATAATATTGACGCAAGAAATAGTCAACAAATAATGGACGATTTTCCTTTAGTGCTTTTTCAAATAAATTAGGATAGTATTTTCGAACTCCATCTTGTATGTTAACATTTGAAGAACCAACTTTTGATGATTTAATTCTTTCGAATATATCTATTGCTCCATCTAAACAATTCCAAGTAACAGCTAACTCTAGTAATTCTTTGTAATCTTCTTTATCATTTTGAGCTAAATCATAAGATTTCAAGTTAATAATTCTATACAATGTTTTGTGTTGAGATTCTTACTATCAAGGACTGCTCGAAATATGGTATTAGTGAGGCTAACATCACGATCAAGTTTAAATACACTCAAATAACGTCGATATTTAGGTGCAAGTACTTTTTGAATCATTTCAATGTCTTGTTCTTCGTTTGCTTGATCAAAACAATAGAGTGAAGAGCAAAGATCAAGTTCTTTTTTCACATCGTTTTTCCTAAAGTATAAAATCTGTAAATATCATTTATTCCATATTAAATATACTTACGTAACGGTATCTATTTTTCTAATTTTTTCAAGTAGATTACCAAGAACATTAGCTAAGCGACCACTTCCATGAATAATTACTACTGGTCTTTCAGCATCTAAATCATGTTGAATTACTTCAAGTGTATTCCAACCACCTTCTACAATGATCGTTACGGCATAACACTTTGTTTGATTGCATATTGTTTTAACAAATTTAGAACGAGGATCATCACCGAGATAATGATTGAGACGACCATCATCAAGTAATAGAAAATGAGTATGATGTTTATCAAGTGAATTTCTTTCATTTTCACTACAAAATGTCAGTGTATGTTGAGAATCTGTTGATCGATTTGATGGTGCCTATGAAACATTAACTTTCTGTGCGTTGACATTTTTTTTTCTTCTGACAATATTTCTAATCGTATCAATACGTTAGTATAAGTTTGGATATGGAAATCTCTATCTCAAGCATAACATCAAATTTGCTACAATATGAAACTTAATACAATAATCGTTAATAAAAGATTTTTCGATAAATGTTCATGTCTTTTTTAACGATCACTTTGAATTTTGTAAATCGTTTTTTTAATGTTTTTCTCAAAAAAAAACTTATTATAGAAGAATTCTTCACTGATGAGCTTTATGAGAGTTATGTATTAGCTGATGATTTTCTTAAGAAAGTTTGAAAAATTTATTATTTTCTTGGTCATTTTACACACAATGTTGTTTCGAGAAACATTGACCTGTCTCAAATATAAAATAGGAGCTAATCATAAACGTTTTGCTGATTTATATTCATCTTAATTGCAAATCTAACAATAACTATCAATAAGACTTTTACTCTGAAATTCAACGATAGATATTATATGCCAGCATGGCAAGTAATTTATCGATACAGAAAGCTAATATAGAGTTTGAAGTGCCTTGAAGATGTTAACAAAATAGTAAAAATCATCTATGCCATTACTATTGTGATGAGCAGATAAATGTGACTAATCTAAGTAGAGTATGTGAACAATTGATCTCTAATTTTCATAGAAGAAACAACTAGAGTATATTGACTTAGTATCGAAACTGTCAATTTATGAATTCTTGAATAACACTCAATAGGAAAAGACTTTCTTGAATAGAATTATCATCGTGATAAAACTAACATAAGACTAGTAAATTGTTTCTAATATGAATTTTTAAATATTATAATTGTTGCTCTCTCATAATATCATTTTAAATACCTGTTGCTTGAGAGCTTCTCGTGTCGATTTGGATATTGTACCCCAATGACTCATTCCAATAACAATTGGTTTCCATGTGTTTTCATTTAACAATGTATTGCGATGGATACCTTGACCAATTAGGTGAGATACACCACTATTTAAGCCAGTTGTTAGTATCCATACATCTAGATAAACAATCAATATATATTTAGTTTTTAAATTACTAATATTTGACTGACCTTTTGTGGTTGCTACTTGACCTATTCCATTCATAAATTCTCTTTCTAGAATGTCAGTCATACTAAAATACTGTGCTCCACCATAACAACTAACGATCAATTTAGGTTTATTAACTACATCATCGCAAATAATTTGAAAAAGTGTTTCAAATGTATTTTTTTCTACATCGCATCGAATAAACTAAGAAAAAATAAAAGAAAAACAAAAATCATAGAATGTTAATATCAAAGTACGTACTCGAGCACCACTTTTTGATTGTCCATAGTGGGTCACATCTGTTTCAATTGTAAGTTTTGGCAACCACTTTTGAGCTCCTCTAAATTTTATTTTTGGATCACCATTGAAACTATGTTCCCGAGCTATACGACCACAGATGCATTGAGCATTTGGTTGCACATTATTCTCTTCTTTTTTTGAGTAGACTGCGCATGCAGCAACTTTTAATTTACCATTCTTTACTTCCCTTTTTACAAGTTCTGCCCATGTTGCCTTTGTCTGTTTGACATGTGGTACTAGCGCATAGACTTCAGAGATTTCATTAATTGAAGACATTGAAATAGATTGACTGACTAAAATTCAGAATGGTAAAATAACTAAACTTCACTTTATGTTCTGTTAGTACATCAGCTTCAGTTTCTAAATTAAAAAAAATAGAGTATTAAAGGAAACTCGTAACAATATACACATATTAACACATATTTCCCATGCATATTAATTTCAATAAAATGGAATCAATTTTAGCATCAATAAGAGAAATAATTACATAAAGAAGGAGTATACCAGAAATAAAACACCTCCCCTCCCCCCCCCCCCCCCCCCCCCAAAAAAAAAATAAAAATAAAAATAACACACAAAATGCAACAAAATAACAAATACTATATATATGTTGAAGTAGAAGATAAAATGTGGTAGAATTTAGAATTCTACTAGGAGAAATTAAAATGTTAATTTCTCTCAGTAATACGAAAAATCACCTGTTATTTCAATTTCTACTAGTAGAATTTTAAATTCTACTGCATTTTATTTTCTACTCCAACGTATTCTTAAATACATATATATGTGTGGGTGTAATGAAATGGCTCTCAAGATATGGTGTATGATTTATTCAACCGTGTAATAAAGATGGTATCTGACCAGCTATTTAACCATAAATATTATAGACGCGGTATTTGATTGAATTTTTTCTTCAGTCTGCTAATTTGCCTGACATATAGGGCTTCTCTTTTTTTTTTTTCTATTCTGCAAGTACAAACTTGACAGTAATAAATATCACCTTGAGAATATTTTCAATTCTATTCTCTGTGCATCATTTTTTTTCTTAACTAGAGTGAATATTTGTTATTTCTGATACATTTCGATACAATGTCAAAAGTAAGAAGATTCGAAGCTGGAAACCAGTTGGCTACACTTGATACTTATGAATTAGTGTTAGAAAAATCAAAGCAAGCACCTGAAAAGATCGTTGTAGTTCTATTCAATGTTGAGTGAGTAAAAAGAATAACATATGTATATTAAATAGTTTATGTAAACTGATTTTTTCTGTAATAGATGTCCTGATCCGGGCACTATTGAACGAAGATTAAAGAATTGGCAAGGTACTTACACAAAGACTTACGGCACTCAGTTCTACAAATGCATTATTTACAAAGGTGAACAAAAAATCAAAACTGATTTCAATATTGAAGACCCACCAACATTTATTTTTTTTCGAGATGGCAAGGAAATTTGTCGAATAGACGATCTTGACGAAGCTGATCCCAGTATTCCAGTTGTAACAACTGATGAAGAAAGTCAAGATGAAAAGCGAATCAAACAAAAGCTTGATGAACTCTGTAAGAATCTTTGATCTTGCACTGTGATGGTATTCTATATTGAATAAATAACTACGTACTATATTACATTTTAATATATAAAAAGTGACATCTATTCTATGTGATTTATCTATTGTTTCTACTAAAGAATAATTTGTTCTGTTCCTCATGTCTTTTTGCTGTATATTATTGATATGCTTGAGACTTATTATAGACAAGTAAAAAGAAATCAAGCATGTAGTGATGTATGACCTTTTCATATTGGATAGACGGAGGAGAAGACCACATCTTGATAAAAAAATTCAAAATTAAGGTATATACTGGTGATGTACAGCAGGAAAAAACAAGATTAACACACATTGTATTGTTCATTATTATTCTTGAAAGACCATAGTATAATGAATATCAGACAAGGATTGTGATTAGCTTTGAAAATCGGCTGAAAAATGTCTAATATGAGAAAGATTAATGGTGAATCTATTCATTTTATATCAAACAAACTTTTTTTCTATCCAACGTAAAAAATATGAGGCACTTTTTATATTGTATCAATTTCGTTGTGATTTACAGACAGAAATGTTTCATAGTTATATCATTAGATCTAAAATGGAGTGAGCTGAAAGTTGATATAAACAATTTTTTTTAAAACAGGTTATCATAGAGAATTTCATGTTAATTATAATTATTCATAGTTGCATACTATTTTTTTTTATTGATTATGATCAATAAAAATTAATTAAAAATTAATAGAAAAAAAATCTTAGCATGACTTTTGATTTTGAAATAGACCGTGCGATAAAACATATAAAATCAAACACGACTATATGTATATTCTTCACCGAAAAACGCAACATTGAAAGTATTTTTTGGACGTTAAGAGCATTGCAACATGTCTGTGCACAAATTAAAAAACTTGTAATGTTAAGACATGTTATTGAAAGAAAAAGGAAAAGGTAATTTTAATATATGTATAAAATATTTGTGCGACTAAAAGAAATAACAGTGAAAAAACAAGAACGAAAGAGAATCACTTAGTTCTTTTTGATAGCAGAGCGAAAAACTAAAGTCATTTCACACAAAAGAATATAGTTTTGAAGAATCGATTGAAATACAAGTAATGTTCATCGTCAAGCGATTCACTTAGCCCTAGACTGATAGAATACATGCACGGATGTAATAGTAATAGCATAAAAAGCTACATTAAAAAA